AAACTTTCACAGAATCTTTATTACATGTTGCCATTGTGCACCTCCTATTTTACTTCTTGATCCGACACATATTTTGGGTTTCCCGGCCACAGGAAAACATGTACTTTTTCACCAGTTATAACCATATGGGAGGCGGGGGGTATCATTTAGTGAGCTCATCGCTCACAGTACCTCTAGTTTTTACTTCGATAATTTACATTTACTAAGGTAGTGTTGTTGATGAAATTCTAGCTGGTTTATTCATTTCTTGAGAAAAGGTTTCACAATAATTTGATGAAGCAATGCCGCCATGATTGAGCATATGGAAATTTATACAAAGGGATAGTCTACTGAAAAATTTCAATAATTGTAAGTTCTTGTAATTCTTCTAATTTTCCTGGGCTCATATTGTTTGCAGAAGAAAACATTATTGTCATTATGACAACGTGTATTGATGTCATTAGAAGAATTTTTGTCTGAAGTCTTCTTTCGTTACAAATATTACAAAATTGAAAGCAATAGGACGTTTGTTGCAGTTGAAAGGCTCTCATGGAATCCATAGAATTGTCATATTTTGTATTATCAGAAAGGAATTGAGTGAATGACGGACTCGTTAAAGTTGTATTTTTTAGGTCACATGAGTAAACTCAGGTGACCTATTGCTATCCATTTTCGTCCGTCGTCGTGCGTCGTTCGTCCTGTGTTAACATTGGAACCTTTTCAGCTTCTTCTCTGCAACCACTCAAGCAATTTCAACCAAATTTGGCAGAAAGCATTTATGAAATAAGGGGAACAAAAATTGTGAATTTCAAGGTCCCTGCCCCCCTGGGGCCTGAGGGGTGGGGCCAAAACCACCAAAATTAATGCAATCTTCAAAAATCTTCTTTACTCCTGGACATCAAGCAGTCAAACTGTTGGCATGAATGTAATAACCATTGAGTCCTCTACCAAAATTGTGAAATTCATGGCCCCAGGGTCAGGAGTTCTAGTGCTAGGGTGGGGCTCTATTGATTATATAGTGAAAACACATCATTTCTTTAAAAATCTTCTTCTCTGCTCCTGGGTAGTAAATAAACTAACTAAGTACATAGTTATGATGAGGCAGAATGCCTTTTGCAAAATTGTGAATTTTATGGCCCCAGGGTCAGGGGTTCTAGTGCTAGGGCGGGGCTGTTTTTGATTATATAGTGAAAATGCATTATTTATTTAAAAATCTTCTTCTTTTCTCCTGGGTATTAAATAAACCAACTAAGTACATATTTATGATGAGGGAGAATGCCTATTGGAAAATTTTGAATTTCATGGCCCCAGGGTCAGGGTTTCTAGTGTTAGGGAGGAGGGCTCTATTGATTATATAGAGAAAATGCTGAATTTGTTTGAAAATCTTCTTCTCTGCTGCTGGGTATTCAATGAATGAACTAAGTATATAGTTATGATGAGCAAAAATGCTTCTTCCGAAATTGTGAATTTCATGGCCCCAGGGTCAGGGGTTCTGGTATAAGGGTGGGGCTCTATTGGTTATATATAGAAAATGCAGAAATTGTTTGAAAATCCTCTTCTCTGCTGCTGGGTATTCAATGAATTAACTAAGTGTATAGTTATCATGAGCAAGAATGCTTCTTCCAAAATTGTGAATTTTATGGCCCCAGGATCAGGGGTTCTGGTGTTAGGGCGGGGCTCTATTGATTATATAGTGACAATACATTAATTCTTTGAAAATCTTTTTCTCTGCTCCTGAGTATTAAATAAACTAACTAAGTATATAGTTATGATGAGCAAGAATGCCTTTTTCCAAAATTGTGAATTTTTATGGCCCCAGGGTCAGGGGTTCTGGTGTTCGGTCGGGGCTCTATTGATTATATAGTGAAAATAGATTATTTCTTTAAAAATCTTCTTTGCTCCTGGGTACTAAATAAAGCAACTAAGTACATATTTATGATGTGGAAGAATACCTTTGTGAATTTTATGACCCCAGGGTCAGGAGCTCTGTTGTTAGGGCGGGGCTCTATTGGTTATATAGAGAAAATGCAGAAAATGTTTGAAAATCTTCTCTGCTCCTGGGTATTAGGCCGATGAACTACCTATAAAGCTATGATGAGCAAGGGCCATTCTTCCTGAATTGTGAATTTCAATACCCTTGGGTCAGAGGTACCATAGAGGGGGGGGGGGGGGGGCTCTAATCATATACTGAAAATGAACTGATTGATTGAAATCTTCTCCTTTGTATTAATCAAATATTTTTGATAAGCAAGGGTGCCTTTTCCAAAATTGTGAAATGTGTGGACCAAGGGTCAGGGGTTCATGTGTGGTAGTGGCACTATACTGATTATTGCTGAATATTACTGATAAGTCGAAATGCATTTTTTTGTTCCCCTATTCTGTCTATGTGTATAAGTAACCAAACTAAACATGCTAAGTGTATACTTGTAGTTATGATTAGCAATGGTGCCTCTTTCAAAATTGTGAATGCCATGACATCTAGTGTAAAACATGAACCAAAGTCAATCCTTGTAAGATTGTTGCATGATGGTCAGGTGACCTATAAGGCCCATGTTCCTCTTGTTGTAATGTGCTTTTGATTTGTTTTTGCAGTTTTGATCGTTGTGATCTGATTTTTATACCCCCCCGCTTGAAAAGTGGGAGGGTATATAGTAATCGGTATTTCCGTCCGTCCGTCCGTCTGTTACGCTTTGGGGTACCCATCTCTTATCCGCAACTCCTCTCATACCACTGAAGGAAATTTAATGAAACTTTCACAGAATCTTTATTACATATTGCCATTGTGCACCTCCTATTCATACCCCCCCCCCCCCCCCTTGAAAAGTGGAAGGGTATATAGTAATGGGTATTTCCGTCCGTCCGTCTGTCCGTCCTTCCGTCCGTCTGTTACGCTTTGGGGTACCCATCTCTTATCCGCAACTCCTCTCATACCACTGAAGGAAATTTAATGAAACTTTCAGATTCTTAATTACATATTGCCATTGTGCACCTCCTATTTTACTTTTTGATCTGACATATATTTTTGATTTTCCAGAGCAAAACATGGACACTGCCATTATATTCATATAGGAGGCGGGGGTATCATTTAGTGAGCTCATTGCTCACAGTACCTCTAGTTTACTTTTTGATCTGACATATATTTTGGATTTTCCAGAGCAAAACATGGACACTGCCATTATATTCATATGGGAGGCGGGGGGTATCATTTAGTGAGCTCATTGCTCACAGTACCTCTAGTTTTACATACGCTTGGAGGGTTCTGGTGTTCGGACGGGGCTCTAATGATTATATAGTGAAAAATACTTTGAAGATCTTCTTCTCTGCACCTGGGGATTAAGCAGATGAAATGTTTAAATAGTCATGATGAGGAAGGTTGTTATAACCCCCGCTTGAAAAGTGGGAGGGTATATAGTAAGGGATTTCCGTCCGTCCGTCTGTTACGCTTTATCTCTTATCCGCAACTCCTCTTATACTACTGAGTGAAATTTAATGAAACTTTCACAGAATCTTTATTACATGTTGCCATTGTGCACCTCCTATTTTACTTTTTTATTCGACACGAATTTTAGGTCTCCCATAGCAAAACATGGACATTGCCATTATATGTTTACCTATGACGTCACCTATAGAAGCTTCTGGATAACATTTGATAGGACGAGTTATTCCTCTTTACACATTACCGTAAAACAATATATAGCAACACGTGGACATTATGGGAGGCGGGGGGGGGGGGTATCATTTAGTGAGCTCATTGCTCACAGTACCTCTAGTTTCTTCCAAAATTGTGAATGATGTTAAGCAGGGGTTCCATTGATCATACAGTGAAAAATAAAAACGCATTAATTCTCTGAAAACTGTACGGACTGCAGATCTAGACACGATATCGGAACAGAAAAAGGATCCAAGTTCTATCAATGTTTTTTTACACGATGTAACGGAGATAAAGACGAGCAGAAACAACATCAGATACTTCAACGCAAAGCACAAAGAAACCTTTCATAGATTGGTTTGTTTCAGTCCAGATAAACGGACGATATTTGTCATTGCCTCAGACATTGCCTCCCCTGTGAAACAGACGAACATACGAAGAGTTCCTTCCTTACAAGAAGCTGGTCGTTTAGACATAAAATTAAACAAATCCTCTGACTTGAGAAGTGAATTTTACAGAAGCAACTCTGCAAACTTTGGAAGAACTGAAAATTGCTCATCAAACAGTAAGTGTGTCTTTTTTTCAAATTTTATAAGGCCTAAAATAAAATTTTGTTTGCATTTGCCTACCAACCCACTGAAAATGCACCCGAACCAATCTTTTTTTTTAAAGCCATTTTGTAATGTATATTTTTATTCAATATTTCAGGATAGTGAATCTGTTTTTTTTTTTTTTTGGTTTTGTTTAATCGGCGATTTTAACAAGAGTGGAGCTTATTCATTTTGAATGGGTCTATGAAAAGCTCTATTATTTGTTATGTAAAAAAAAATTGAATTTTTTTTTCAAAAAAAGCCTACCTACCTACGCAGTCTAAAAATTATAGGTCGGCAACTGCAAACAAAGAATTCTTGAAGCTTGGCCTTAGCTGAGTCAAACAATTATGGAACAATTGATCGTTGGACCTGTGCTGAGAATGATTGATGTGATTTCATGCAGATAAGCCATTGACAGAACTTACAGCTCATGTTGATCAGTGTTGCTGGTGGCAAACCTGTTCAAGCCAACAAAAAATTTACTTGCTGAGTTGCAACAATAAACATAACTGTATCATTAATAGTTGATAAGGAATATTTTGTCTGTTAAAGTACATGTATTTGATTTAATTGATTATTTTCTTATAAATATATGTACATGTGTGAATGACAAAGATTTGCGAATGTGAGTGTGCATCTCGAAATAGGAAAAAATTTGTTTGTAAAACAAATGTCTATTAATTGGATCGGTCTTCGGTGTTATTTGGAAATGGCTTGATTCAGCCACGTTTCCGCTTTAATGTACCCCTTCGACCAGCTGACAATGGAAAACAAAGAAATTGCGTGGATTCAGTTTATTATAAATTTACAGAAAAGAAAACTTGTAAACAGTACAGAGTCACGAAATAAAACGTTTAATTTTATACATAGGCGATTATGTCTGCATAGACCCTGTAGGAGGTACCTTAATCGAATCACACCTTTGAAATAGGACATATATATGATGTGTGGATAATCTGGACAATACTTTGAATTGCATGATTATAAGCAAAAATGGTATCTTCAGTGATTGATTGATATATTTGCCTCTATACAGTATGATATATAATAAGGAATAAATGCTTTGAATTATTTGAATTTTTCATTTTACAGTTTTGTATCAAATTGTATTTTACAGTTTTGTATCAATACCATCCGAATTAAAGTCTACATTATCATATGCTCCTCCACCTTCCTTTGCTTCTACCTCTGCAGCTATTGTCTTCTTCTCCATCATTGCCTGTCCATTGTCGATTTCACCATGCCTCATGTTGAACATGTTTTGTTTTTCTTCTTCATCTTCAATGTACCGAAATTTGTACACACCACAACTGCCAAGCAGTGGTACAAGAAATACCACTGTTGCGACTACTGCCACAATTATATTATATTCGTACTGATCGAGAAATTTGGTATATACCGGACCACGAACATTGATACCACGGACCAGTGTCTTACCCGTCCCATTAATCATGCATTTATAAATACCACTGTTTGTTGAGTTCACTCTGTGGATTTTAAGTACCATATTTGTGTATCCTCCTTCCTTTTCTAAGAGGAAATCGCTGTCGCTTGCCCCTATTCTAACGCCGTTAGGTTTCTCCCACTGCACACTACCTGTACCATTTTTTGTGTCAATATTTAAATTACGTTCATTGCACTTCAATGTTGCTGGTTTATTTTCTTCAACAGCTTTAGCCCAATGGTTTTCTTCAGCATAAGTTTTCGCCCTTACCGACGTAAGGGCTGTGATAAACAGCAGACTGACAAAAAGCATCTCCATGAATATCGTTCACCTAAAAGAAAACCATATTTGCCTTGTATATTAATCAAACGTTGCCATAGCAAACGTCTAAATCTGCAGACATTCCGTGTGAACTCAATAGCCTAGCAACTTGTATGTAAAACCACAGGAACTTGTGGACAGGAATTTCCTCCCTCCCCCGATAATCACCTCGGGGCTTGTTTAACTTTTTACACAGGTTACATTGATTACACTTAATCATTATGTGTACTATAATAAAAAATCGTTAAAACGCCAAAATAATCTTTCCACAGAAATACCCCACTATACAAGAGAGAAAAGTATGTCACTCCGGTTTGGGGGTACGACGTAAACAGCCCCGGGGTTGAATATCGGGGGGGGGGGGTACCTGTTTGTAAAACGTCAATCATCATTCAACTTAATGATATACCGGTATTGTGTTTACTGATTCATTGTATTAACTATAGAATTTACGAAATGAGTTCGAGGATCCCGAGGTGATCGAACTTGACAATCTTATGTCCTAAAGGGCTGCCTTTTTTCTGAGAGAAGAACAGACGAATACATGATTTTTTCTTCCAAATATGCACTGAGTATTTAACATTTAATTTGAATATACCTTTGGAAATAAACCGGTTTCAAAAACATGTCAAGTGATTTTGAGATTTAAATGGATGTAACCTGATATTCTCAGGAAAAATACGGACGCATTTTAAATTTACTGTTTCAGCAGTAGTTGACTGCTGTTAAAAGGACACAAATAATGCAGTGGAATAAACCCTGGTATAAAAAATCAACAAAGTATTTTATGTTAATTTACAAAAAAAAACAAACAAAAAAAACATCTGGAAGACCTATACATCGACTTCGAACATCATTGATATACCTGGGCACTCGATTTATATACAAAAATATATACTGCGTAATATAAATTTCAGCTTAAGAAAAGTTTATTAAATTTTCATTTAAAAACGACGGTATAATAATCATTGAATAATTGAATAATGGTGCTTTCAAATGCTTACGACTTGAAGTAGGACATCTCAAATTCATTTACTTACTTGTTCGAAAAAGATACAAGCTTCCTTACTCCACTGATCGATCGTATATTCCCATGAACATTTTTAAATGTTCACAAAGGAAGGTGTCAATTCTCGGCCCAGCGATCTCGAAGATTTACGACTATTTAAACTCGCATAGGAGATGGGTTCACAGCAATGTTATTTCTAAAGGGTGCGGTAAACAAGTTTGCCTCTCAGTTATACCTTTTTAATGACAGTCTTGTTTTTGATGACAATGTCGTTTCAGAATTCTTACCTGTGCGGCTATGCTTGGCTGTGCAGAGCAGTGAACATGCATTTTCTATAAAGACATAAAACCTCTCCTTTAAATAAATTATTCGTTCAAGAAAGCCATCATAAATGAGTAAATCCCTAAAATGATGAAACAAACGATGACAGACATATACACAGTAAAGTAGTAAAAATATTGCATTTTAAAGGGATAGGAGCTGGCAATTTTTGTCGGGTTGGATTTTCTTTTATTGCCTTCGAGTAGAGATTATTATTTTAAAGATGGTCAAGTCATTTTTTTTCATATGCATTTATTTTCATAAGCATCTTTGTAATTTTCAATTTAGCTGTTGTAAATTTTTAATCTAAGTCCGTCGTTAAATGGGACGTTAAATGGCGCCCCGTGTCAAGGATAACGACCCCTTTGTCACGTAAAAGATCGTTTCTTTTGGTTTTCGAAAAAGAATGGGTCATTGGGGGCCGCGCTTTGATTTTTGAACCTTGACCTTAAAGTTTCACCTACTTTAAAAAAAGTAAATATAGTTTTGAATTGGCCATAACCTTTAAATAAATGAGAAGAGACAGGGTTTTCATTTTAAACATGTGTATTACATGTACCTGTGCCCTTTCTAAATACGCTATGATTATGACCTGATGACCTTGAAGTTTTTTTACCTACTTTTCAAAAGTATTCATTTTTCCTTGTAATGTTTGATTGAGAAGAGATAGGGCCTTCATATCTGGCATGTGCTTTACCTGTGACAAGATATTTCTGAGCATGATATTGTAATAGAGACGTATACATTATTTTAGAGTTATCTCTCTTGGATGGAGTAGTGCGCGGTTTTTAGCTCTACTGGTCAGAGACCAGAAGAGCTTATGCGATAGTAATGCGTGTCCTCCGTTGTTCTGTCTGTAAACAATTTTTCAAAATGCTACTCCTCCTACAGTTTTGGTCTAATTTCAATATAACTTGGCACACAAGTAGACTACACTAAGATACATAATTCTGTGTATCGGTTTTTGATTTCGATGAACGGTGTTGCCGTGGTTACTAAAAATAGAAATTTCCGTCGAAATTCTTTCAAAATGCTACTCCTCCTACAGTTTTGGTCTGATTTCAGTATAACTTGGCACACAAGTAGACTACACTAAGATACATAATTCTGTGTATCGGTTTTTGATTTCGATGAACGGTGTTGCCGTGGTTACTAAAAATAGAAATTTCTGTCGAAATTCTTTCAAAATGCTACTCCTCCTACAGTTTTGGTCTGATTTCAGTATAACTTGGCACACAAGTAGAATACACTAAGATACATAATTCTGTGTATCGGTTTTTGATTTCGATGAACGGTGTTGCCATGGTTACTAAAAATAGAAATTTCTGTGAAATTCTTTCAAAATGCTACTCCTCCTACAGTTTTGGTCTGATTTCAGTATAACTTGGCACACAAGTAGAATACACTAAGATACATAATTCTGTGTATCGGTTTTTGATTTCGATGAACGGTGTTGCCATGGTTACTAAAAATAGAAATTTCTGTGAAATTCTTTCAAAATGCTACTCCTCCTACAGTTTTGGTCTGATTTCAGTATAACTTGGCACACAAGTAGACTACACTTAGATACATAAATCTGTATATCGGTTTTTGATTTCGATGAACGGTGTTGCCATGGTTACTAAAAATAGAAATTTCTGTCGAAATTCTTTCAAAATGCTACTCCTCCTACAGTTTTGGTCTGATTTCAGTATAACTTGGCACACAAGTAGAATACACTAAGATACATAATTCTGTGTATTGGTTTTTGATTTCGATGAACGGTGTTGCCGTGGTTACTAAAAATAGAAATTTCTGTGAAATTGTTTCAAAATGCTACTCCTCCTACAGTTTTGGTCTGATTTCAGTATAACTTGGCACACAAGTAGAATACACTAAGATACATAAATCTGTATATCGGTTTTTGATTTCGATGAACGGTGTTGCCATGGTTACTAAAAATAGAAATTTCTGTGAAATTCTTTCAAAATGCTACTCCTCCTACAGTTTTGGTCTGATTTCAGTATAACTTGGCACACAAGTAGACTACACTAAGATACATAAATCTGTATATCGGTTTTTGATTTCGATGAACGGTGTTGCCGTGGTTACTAAAAATAGAAATATCTGTAAAATTGTTTCAAAATGCTACCCCTCCTACAGTTTTGGTCTGATTTCAGTATAACTTGGCACACAAGTAGAATACACTAAGATACATAATTCTGTGTATTGGTTTTTGATTTTGATGAACGGTGTTGCAGTGCTTACTAAGAATAGAAATTTCTGTGAAATTCTTTCAAAATGCTACTCCTCCTACAGTTTTGGTCTGATTTCAGTATAACTTGGCACACAAGTAGACTACACTAAGAACATAAAGAGACTTTATCAACGATCATTATTCTATTTATTGCTGTTGTAAAATTTCAAATCCCAGCTGCTTAAGTACTTTTCTTTTCCTTTGCTATAAGTTCAAACCAGTAGAGCTTCAGTCTCAACAGAGACTTCTGGTTATTGACAACAAGTGCTACCGTCTGAAGAGTTTCTATGAAAGTACGTCATTGTACCATGTTCATGATATTGTAGTCATGTACTTTCATATGCGGTTTAGTAATGCATTTTTTGCAATCTGGGTCGAAATGTCCTGTTGTAACGTTTATTTTGTTGATTAACACGTTATTTGTACGAGAAATCTGATACTTATTGTATATTAAGTAATTATGTAATTGTCAAAAGAAAAGGGAATTTAATCGTTAACGAATATTCGAGGTCATAGCAATTTTAAATGAATGTGTAAATAATTATCAAGTCACACTGAGTGTATGATGTATTTCAAACATCTATGACAACATCAAAACACTAATGATTATCTATCAAAAACATAAAAGAACAAGAGGCCCATGGGCCTTATAGGTCACCCGAGTATCATGTAACAACTTTCCATCAATTGAATTTGATTCGTGTGTTAAACCATAGTCCATAAAATTCACAATTTTGAAAGAGGCACCATTGTTTATCATAACTATACACTTAGCATGCTTTCTTTGGTTCGTAATACCCAGAGGTAGATCAGAATAACATAAAGAAAATAGGTTTTCATTTTATCAGTTGTGCACTCCATCCCAAGGGAACCTCTGACCCTGGGGCCACATCTTTCAAAATTTTGGAAATTTTATATCAATATGTTGTTGATTAATACCAAAGTGCAGATTTTCAGATTGTACCCCCTCCCTCCCCTAAGGACCTCTGTCCCACGGGCCCGGAAATTAGCATTTTGGAAGTAACAGCTTCCTTCGTCATAAATATGTACTAAGATCATTGGCATAATACCCAAGAGCAAAGGAAAATATTTTTAAATAATTCATGCATTTCACTTTACATGTATAAACATTAAAGACCCACCCTAACACAAGAAGCCGTGACCCATGGGCCCTGAAATTCAAAAATCTCATAGACGCATCCTTCCTCCTCATAAATATGTACATAGTTCATTGGTTTAATAACCAGGTGCAAAAAAGATCTTAATTCTTAAAGAATTTATGCATTTCACTATCAGCAAAGCCCCACCCTTACACCAGAATCCCAAACCCAGAAGTTTGTTTCCAGTCTCCCAGGTGCTGGTGCTGGTAAGGTGGGAACTACCTAGAGTTATCCTCATGCGAGTCATCCATGTTAACATCCCTACCATCAGATGTCCTGCTACCTTCATTTACATCTTCTCATCCGTGGTGGGGCCCATTTCATCGGATTCATCATTCATCTACACATCATCCTCCACCCAGACATATGTCCTCCAGATGACAGCTGGAACGCCCCTCCATCATCATCCCTTTATCATCTTCCTGAAGGTAAATCATGTTTCAGATGTTTATTATTAATCTAGATGTAGAAATTGAAAAATTACAAAGATTGAAGGAAGCTGCTAAGGGAACGAGAGAAGTGAGAGAGAGAGATCTAGAGTTGAGACGTGAGTTAGAGTTTGAGAACAGAAGGCGTAGGTGTGAGATTCAAGGTTTGCAAAGCAGTGAGAGAGAGAGTCTGAGAATTGTTTCTCCAGGGATGAAAGGTTTGAGAGACCGGTTGGAAGACTAGATTGTTTTAGGATTGTTTTAGATTGTTTTAAAAGAGAGAGTACTAGTTTAGCAGAGAGATGGGGAAAGAAAGTTACTCTAGAACCCTACAAAGGTTTTTTTTTTAGAGGAGAAATGTGCAAAATGGTATCCTAACAACAAACGATCATTGTCAACTTACCTTTCATTACAATGTATTTAGCACATTACCCTTATCATCCGTCCTATGTGGTTTTAATGTAATCTTCCAAAAGAAAGTATGATCTGTTTGTGATAATACAGTTGAATCACGATCTATTGACCTGAAATTGATAGATCATATTGATTCATTGGTATTTTTTCAACATGACATATGCATCATAATCGTTTTCCCGAACATTTGCAAATGCTGATGTGAATAAGGGAATCCGCCATCTAGCTTGGGGCACCAGAGTAACGGTATGTCCCCTCTCCTTCAAAGTAGTGGTATAATTTAACCTTGAACAATTACAAAATTGAAATAGTAAACCTGATATAGATCATTCCAAGAAGAACAACTCGTCATCTGTTCTGCACTAAACGCATTCACATCTTTCTGCCCTTATTGAAAAAAAAACCCTTTGATTCAGCGATATCGAGAGTATGTCTGATGAATCGTGACGATTTTCTTGACATTTTTCTTCACTGGCAATTCCAATCCCTGAATTGAGGATTAAACGTAATGGGTAGGCTAAAGAAAACTAAATGTTAAAGCTAAACACGATTCGTAAAAGACCTCTCTCAAACACTAAGATTTTTGACCTTGTGACCCAGACCTTAAAGTTTGACATACTATATAAAAACTTGAACCTTGGTCATATCTTTTGAATGGGAAGAGATGGGACTTTCATATTACACGTGT